GGGGGGGGGGGGGGGAGGCATCGGTCCCCCCTTTCCGGTAAGACTTGCGTCTCATTACACAAAGGGTGGGGACACATTGATCAAAAAACAACTGTTGTTTACTTGATTTCTCTCATCTGTTACATTATTATTTTTATTGATAAATGTAATATTATATATATATAGGATTTATCTCGAAGTATTGAGAAGTTTTCTTTTATTTGTCCGCAGTACTCTGTCAGTGATACAGTATATTCTGATCCAAGGTGAGTTATTAAAAACATAAATATTTTCTGCTTTGATAATTTTAGATAAAATCACCCCTCCCCCCTCCTCTCATTTCGTGAAATCACAATGGTGTATAATTTCTTTGAAAATCATTCCCCCAAAAATATAGGTTTGATAATTAAAAATCAGTCCCCTGGGGGGGAAAACCTACCTACTACATCCTGTATATCCCTGGATATATTGTATATATTGTATTTATGTCTGGTTGATAAATAGTTTGTATTCCCAGGCAAATCCATTCTTTTCACAAGAAAACGAGGATATTAATATTTGTTGAAAACTAAACTGAATTTATCATTTCACAAAAATATTCAGATAAATTACTGAGTCGTCTAGTTTATGAACATCGGGAGAAAAATTACAGGGTTACCCACAAAATATGAGACTGTAAAGACGACCAGAAACTTCTTAAATATTAAGATTCCTTACAGTTAAATTTTGTCTTCTCCTTGAATAAAGTTGTTGAATGACTTAATTAAAGATTTGATAAAAAAACGAAGCAAGTTTACAGGAAACCATAAATATTAGGAAGAAATACATTATAATTCCGTACAGTCGTCTCTGCTCAGATTCTTTATTAATCGTATTAACCATTAAGCTTTAGAGAGCTAATTTTCTGATCCGAGATTCACTTAATACTGTCATAAAAACTTATCATTATTTCGGCTAGTTGAACCTCCTTCTCCCTAGTCATGATTTCCAACCCTAAGAGCAAACATCAAGTAAACTTTATCTAATCTTCGATTAAATATTAAAACTTATTTAATGAATTTTTTGATTCTGATAAAAAAAATTTAAAAATTTGTTGTTAACTATTTATATCTCCGAATTATTTGCTTAATAAGACTGTATTTGTACAGAGGAGGGAATAGATTTTGTGAAGTGTAATCTTGTAATAATGTTCGATGCTCCAGCCACATTCAGTAGATATATCTATACAAAGGTAAGGATAAAAAAATGATATTTCTGTCCTCCTCCTCACCAGTTTTCCTGCTGATATATAATTTGACAATTAAAAAAGATCCTCCATCCTGTCCATGCTGTAGGAACAGAGAACAAGTTTCTTTCTTTTTAAGGAAGAAAATTTAAACTTTTTTTTTAATTGCCTTCCTAATTTTTGTGAAAATCTTTCTTCTCAATTTGTTGACATTTGATTTTTTATGGTTGTGTTGTGAGGCAGAATAATGGGATTTTATCCTACTGATTGATTGATTGAGTGATTGATTTATTGATTGTAGGTAAAATGTAAGAGTGTGTACGGGTCCCTTGTCTACTTGTGTGAGGAGAGTAGACTAGATGAACTCCGTGCTGAGCTAACCAGCTTCAAGAGTCTAGAAACCCAGATACTAGACAACTGTACTAACAAGGCAGCTGATGTAGAAGACGATATAGGAAAATATTCACTTATTTTATAAATCCAAATATATCAAGCTTGACATACTTTTGTGCGTCCTCAATTCGGCCTCATCATTTTTGTCCTATTTTGCGTCCTCAATGTGTGATTTAATTTTTAAATCCTCATTAAAAAAAAAGCATGATAAGCAAATTTTTAAGAAAAGCGTTCTTTTTGGCAAAAAAAGTTTTATAAATGATAAATGTTGCTAATATATATCTAGAGACATTAGCCTTTTTCTAGATATTTTCTTCTCTATCTTTTCAGTTTATTCCAAGAGAACTTTGCGTCTGATCATCTTTAATATTTCTTTTCATTTTAAAAATTGTACAGGATACAAATATTGTGAACTGTTTTCTCTAGTGGCTGATAAGTATATAAATCTTCTTCCCCTTTATCCTTCTAAACCAACTCTTCCTGGAGTTGAACCAAGTCTACTATCTTCACCTGGAGCTGTATCCACCCTCCAATCTAATCCCGGAGCTGAACCAACCCTCCAATCTATAACTGGAGCTGTACCTACCCTCCAACCTACTCCCGAAGCTAATGTAATCCCTCCACTTACACCTGGAGAGGAAGAACCAAGTGCTGTTCAACCTGATTGTAGTAAATGTATTGAATCTAGTGAAACTAAAAAGACTGAAACTTATTCTTGTCAGACTGAACCTGTTGTCATCACCAACCCCAGTACAAGTTGTCTAAGACTGCCCTCGGATAGTAAATCTCAAACTACTTCTCCGCCCCCTGGCCAACACACTGTTGCTCTGCCCCAGGGTATTCATCCCAGTGCTCCACCCTTGAGTTTAAACAGTAGTATCCTGATCCTTAATAGATACTGTGCTAAACTACCGTCAGATACTTTTACCAGGCTCACACCTACATGGACAGTTCAAAGGTAAACTAGGTTGTAATGACTTTTTCATGTTGATTTTTAAGACTTTTTTTTATAATTTTAGTGATTTGAATCAAACAAAACTAAAAAAATGATGGTTACAATCTATTTTTTTGGGGGGGGGATTAAAGGTCAATTTGATAAATCTTCGAATAATTCTATTTGTATTGTACACTGTTAAGTGTATACAGTATACACAAAAGGAAAACATATTTTAGCTTTGCGTATTTAGAACCCCCGAGGATAAGTTCTACTGTGTACTGTTCCTACCCATCAACTCCCCCCTGAAGGAGCTTGTGGTCGGCTGTTGTATGCCTTCACCGTCTCTAGCACGTCGAGCTGCAGCCTACCAGGTTAACTTTTATCTAAATAGGTTGTTTACAGTGCGCATCTTTCGAGTATTTATATTAGCCTTTTCTTTCTTGGATTTTGTACCTTTAGAAACAAAAAAGAACAAAATCTTTGCAGATTTTACTTCTTCTATTTGTGGATTTTCAAGAAAAAACTTAAATCGAAAGAATTTTGAGGCAAAATGATTGTTTTACCTTTTCTTTCGAGTTATTTGAGTCGTAACAAAAATATCAGCCGAGCCAGAAAAGCCAAATTTATATATAGATGTTATAGTTGTTAAAACTGGCATTTATTGGGTTTAATGGGTATTGTACACTGTACAATTTAAGCTTAGATGAACCCTTGTGTTATCAAAGGTCAAAATTAATATTTTGTGTTGTAAATCCTGTGTTAAACCAGTTTGAAATAATTTTAAATAGGTTTGTTAAATGTTCTTGTTTGTTTAGGCGAGCGTTCAACTCCATCAGATTAAAGAACTAGATGATAATCTCATGCCCTTAGGTAAAATTATCCAGATTTTTTTTCGGACTTCTTTCTTAACAACAAAGCACATTTATTACGTTTAGTTTGAAAAGTTGTTTTCTTCGTAGTTTTCCTCGCTATTTTACATTTTATATCTAAATTTAATTTTTTCTTTTTTTGCCCTTTCTTTCTTTATGCTTGATAGTTAGTGAGTTCCAATGTAAGTTGAAGCTATCCTAATGTAAGAATGCGCGACCTTATAACTTAAACTTTATCTTTGTGAATGTGAGGGAGATATCGTCCATTTTCTTAACCATAATGGAACAAACAATTTTTCTTTATCGCCTGATGTATTTTGCTATTTGCGATTCGTTTTCATTAAAACCCGGACCATAAAGAAAGAAAAACGAAAATGTTTTTATTTTTTTAATCTTAGATAAAGTTTAAAAGGGTAACATCGTGATGATGGCTGATCATGGAAATAAGAATAAAACATCGTTGGTGAATAAAATGCATTTAGCAGATAAAAGTTGATTACAGCAAGTCTTATTTGTAACATATTCTAGGGAAAGAAAGTATTCTAAACGCAGTGCGCCCTGTATCCCAGATACTAGACAAGAAAATTGATCCCATATCCAAGATCCAAGAGGAGAATACACAACCTGTATCCCAGATACAAGATGAAACAATGCGTCCTGTATCACAGATACAAGATGAAACATTGCGTCCTGTATCCCAGATACAAGATGAAACAATGCGGCCTGTATCCCAGATACAAGATGAAACAATGCGGCCTGGAACAACAAAAAGACGACAATATTATTACAAGCGGGTAGCTCCTTGCCTGACTAACGGACGGAAAACTACTATAAGTAAAGTAAACAACACAAAATCAGCTGATACAGTCAATATTGATGAAACTTCGCTATCTCTAAAAACCTTGTCCTTAAAACCAGAAGAACCGGAGAAAAAATGTGATACAAATTTCGAATATAAAGAAGGAGTCCTAGACCCCTCTGATCCAATCGAGGAGCATGAAATGAAAATGGATTCCTCAGAAAGCCCTGAAGTGGAACTTGATCGAAAACTAGGTCTAGAATTACGAGAAAAGTTTCCAAATCTGAAATATTACAGTACAGAGGAAGACACTTTACTTAGGTTAGTATTTAACTACTTGTTCAGGGGTTTATATTTGCTTTATGATCACGTATTCCTCTAAACCAAAAAAAATCCTTGGGTTGATCTGTGTAGATTAATTTAGTAAAAATTTAAAATAAAATATTTTTTCTAAGATTTATAATAAAAAATATCGTTTGGGACTAAGATTGTATTCTTAAAAATATATAACTCATAAATTTTTACGAGATTTTTGCAAATAAATTAATTTTATACAGGGTTATCCACAAAATTGGAGACTTCAGAGACGACTGCTCAAAATTTTACAGTCTGTTTCATTATATATATATAACTATCCGTATATGCAAAATATGTTGTTACTTTCTTTATCCATTTATTAAGTAAGCCGATATAAAGATTATATTTGATGCAGGAGATTTAATTTAATCTTAAAATCGTACTTTTTTAACGATTTTAGGTCGTTCTTACAGTTGTATTCACTGTGGGTAACCCTTTATTTGAAAATTTATTATTACAGGGATCGTTACTCCAATATATCTGTACCGTCCTACGCAAACTACAACCTCTACGCAATGCGTATGCACCTGACCTGCCCTATTCCGGAGGAACAAAACACCCGAGGTCGGAAAATCTACGATCCTGCGGACTCCGATCAGCTGTTTGGAATTCTTCTGCCCAATAATATGCCGGTCATACCATCCTTCCCTATCTACACCAGGTCGGGGGAGGTGCTGGTCAACCTTGTCCTGGTTCAGCAGGGGATACACCTCAACACCATCGAGTTAAAGAAGGTTTTCACCTACCATGTGTTTACCTTCTACTCAGTTCTCCGACTGGAGAAGTATCCCATGGTGTTTAACTGTGAGGAGGAACACAACTGTGCCGTGTTTGTCCCGTTGTCTCAGAAGAATGGAGACCTGAGAATAGATTGGGAGTTTTTGGATGTCATTCAATATCTTTCTACAAAACGCTTGCGGTCTCTAGGGGATGAAGAGCGGAGAGAGTTTAAGTTTGAGATTGAGAGTTACAATGACTCCGTGATAATGCCTTGGTATAGAAACCAGGATCAACCTCAGTATTTCTATGTTGCTGAGGTGTGTGAGCATCTCAACCCCACCTCGGACTTTCCTGGACAAGGGTTTGAAACCTTTGAGAAATATTACGGGACCAAATATGAAATAAATATCCAGAATTTGTCCCAACCTTTGCTTGATGTAGATCATACTTCAGCTCGATTAAACTTCCTGACTCCTAGATACGTGAATAGGAAGGGGATAGCACTTCCGACCTCTAGCGATGAGACAAAGAAGAACAAGAGAGAAAACTTAGATCAGAAACAGATACTGGTTCCTGAACTCTGCGCTATTCATCCTTTCTCCGCCAGTCTCTGGAGACAGACCGTAGCTCTACCTTGTGCAATGTACAGACTCAACGGTCTTCTTATAGCAGATCAGATTCGTCATGCTGTCTCAGTAGAGATGAAGTTCGGAGTACAAACTCTACCCGACACCTTCACCTGGCCTCCGCTCAACTTTGGTTGGACTTTGGCAGATGTTGTAAAAAATACTAGGTCTGAGAGTAAAATTTCTCCGTCCGACGAGAAATCTTCAAGCGAGGAAATCGAGAAAATAAGACTGTCCCGGAATAGTAGCTTATCTAAGGATGGGTTTGAGGAAGAGGAGATGATCGGAGTGTGGGAGGAGGAAGGTGATATGGGGAAGATGGCTGACAGGCTGTTAAGTAAACTGGCAGCGGAGGAGAAGTTGAACCGGAGAAAGAAACTAGAGATTGGAACTTGGAACAATGATATGGCAAACCAGGGTTCGGACTGGGGAGCTGATGATGAGGATGAAGGAGGTAGTGATGATGAACTGGCTCTAGCAGGAATAGAACTACCGGACAATCTCACATTTATACCAAGCATTAAAACTAAACCTCAGGCTGAGGGGAGCAAAGATTGGGGAACTGGGATTGAGACGAAAAATTTTCGTGTGGGTAGTCCCACCTGCTTCACAGGAAACAATATGGCTGGGTTAATGGACGATCTGGAGGGGTTCAGTTGCTCCGACTCCGAGGAGGACTGGGAGGAAGAGATTTCAGATTCTGAGTCTGAGAAACCAGGGAGAGCCAGGATAGAGTTCCACGGTGAGAATGTTGCTGAGACTATAGAGGAGGAGTCTGATGTTGCTGCAAGGGAGGAGAGACAGGCCAAGGACAGGGACCAGGAGACAAGTATGGTTCAGGATCAGGAGTGGGATCCCAACCTTCTCCTAGAGGTGGAAAACCTAGGAGAGATTGATAAACCTGAGATTAAAATTGAGATCATAGAAGATAGCGCACCCGTGAGATTGATAAAACAGTCAGATGAGGTGAAACCTGAAGTGTTTGAACCTGATCCTGAATATACTCCGGTCAAACCCCAGCTCAGTCATCAAACAGACCTTGATACAGTTCTATCCAACCTTGGTTTGTGTCCGGATCTGTCGATCTTAAAACCAATCCCAATGGAGGAACCTGGAATAATTCCTTGGCCCGATGTTGATCAGACCGATGTAAAATTTGATTATCAACCGGAGCTCTCCGATCATCCTGGACCATCTCCCTCCCTCATCCTTCAAGCCCTCACAATGTCCAACTCGAACGACGCGATCAACTTGGAAAGATTAGAGACAATCGGAGATTCGTTCTTGAAGTATGCAATTACAAGTTATCTGTACTGCCAGTATCCGTTTATTCATGAGGGTAAACTCTCTCATCTAAGATCAAAACAGGTTTCCAATCTAAACCTCTACCAGCTAGGCAGAGCAAGGTATGAACTATTTTCACTTCTAAATTTTTTGAGCGTTTGTAAAGTAAATTGTTAAAATTTTGACGGGCCAAAAACCTTCCATGGGGTCAAAGTTACCTCTCAAAATTTGTCCCGATAAGTTTAGTCTTTTTTGGCGTTCATTAAATAAAATCCTTAACAGAACCGTCAAAAATTACATTGATTACCACAAAAAAGAGTGAATCTAAAATAAAGTTAATTTTGATAAATGTTTAGAGGTCTAGGAGAGTTCATGATTGCCACTAAGTTTGAACCCCATGATAACTGGCTACCACCTTGTTACCATGTACCACGGTAAATATTCTTTATCTTTACAGAATTGACAACTTTATATCGAGAAAAAAATTGTGCTCACGTATTTTTAGGCAAATTGAGTACCTTTGGTAAAAAAGAGAAAATGACAATGTGAAAAATTTTAAATTTTGGCTTAACCGTTTTACCTTAAAATTACCTAAAAATACGAAAATATATTTTAAAAGTAAAAAATAATATTTTTCAACCCTCTAAATTTTTGGAGTAATTTTTTGTTTGTATCATCATTTCATATCATGTACCGTACTGCAGGGAACTTGAGAAAGCTCTGATAGAATCCGGTGTACCGGCCAGTCATTGGAATATGGCGGAACTGCCCGGGATAGAAAAAATGTCCAGCCTAGAGATTTGTCAAATACTCAGGTACAGTACAATAGTACAGTCGGACCAGGGATTAGAAGACGACTCGTAAGATTTTGAAAAGTCCAATAAACATGAAACACAATTACTGGTACAACTATTTACTTTACATAACAACATAAAATACACACATAATTGCTTTAATGTCATCTTCCTTATCCACAGTTTTATTGGTCCCGTGAACATGAAAGTACATCAATAATATTTTAGTATATTAGAAGCAATATTTAAAAACAGACAAAACAGAAAGTACAGAAATCTCCATGACGAAATTTTTAAACGGAATTTATGAAGTACAGTCTGAAAACAAGTACAGATACCTATTTGCCGCTATGTACACATGACTGAATAGTGAATATTTTCTACCACAAAATAATCTTGCTTTGATTTAGGGAGAGGGTTGAGAAAAGTTTTGTTGAAGAAGATAGGATCCAAGATTTACCATCGTTTATACCTTACAATCTACTAACACAGCATTCTATACCTGATAAATCAATAGCAGATTGTGTAGAAGCTTTAATAGGTTAGTAAGAAACAAAAATCTGTTATCAAAGTAAAAGAATTATTAAAACATTTGTAGAAACCAGAAGGTATTAGATAAAAAAATAAGTTGATAAATTTGTAAGCTTTAATGTTTGTTTTAGGCCCCAAAAATCCCCCAAAAGTTTATAGATAATCCACCAAACAATCTTGTTGCTTGGTAATTATAAATGTAAAGTAGTAATCTTTGTTTGTCTGTTTTGATGTCCGATCATAACTCATGAACTTCTTGACTGATTGTCCTAAAATTCTGATGGGGGAATTTGGCACAATCACAGGAATGTTCTTAGTCTGATTATAAAGTTCCAAGCTAATTGGGTTGATATTTATAGAAAACTCCAGGCAAAGCTGGATTGCTAAGTGCTAAGGGTTTTACATTTGGTTCCCTTTCAGGCCTGAAGTATTTATGTTTAATATTTTGTGTAGGTGCTTATTTAATATCCTGTGGACCAAGAGGGGCATTATTATTAATGACCTGGCTACAGATCAAGGTGCTTCCAGGTAATTGGAAATTTATATATATAATAAAGCTCTTTTCTCATAGGTTATTTCCTAGAAAAGATTTTTGGCCCCTCCCCCCCCTTCATAAAAATGTACTTAAATATAATTGGTCATGTGGCTGCATTGCACGGCCCCTAGCCTGTAGCTCTTATAAATATATTTGGGGGTAACATAGGCTTTAAAACATCGATTTTTTATTCAAAATTCGAAATTTTTTCTTAAATTCAATTTTTATTTTGTTCAAAAATCGATTTTTTTGTTTCAATTCCACCCTGGCACTGCAGCCAGTTACATATATTTTGTAATTAGTTTTCCTGTCATTTCTTACCCATAAAGGATTTACAAACCTTAGCCATAAAAAATATCAAAAACTGTTCTTTGTGGATTTCTGTTGCACGGACAAGCAAGGAGATGACCCCAGATTTGTCGCCATGCTAAGCGGGTTTAGAATTAACCATTTATTAATATTTTAGGAAATATAGACGCCCCTGGCGAACTAGTTCCTCCCCCCTCCCCACTGCTGAGAAACCCCTGGAGCCCGAACCCAGAGAAAGAGCTAAACTACCTCCTGGACGGATACAACAAGTTCGAGCATATGATAGGATATGTCTGGAAGGATAAAAGTTATCTTCTTCAAGCCTTCAGTCATGCTTCTTATTATCCAAACAGGCTGACCGACTGCTATCAGGTATAGGCCTTGTTTTTAGTGCAGTGGACTCCCTATTTGAAGGTTTAAAGGGTGTCGCTGTGAATCAGGGATACTTCTACTTGATTCAAAACATTAAATTTGAGATATATTTTTAACTTTTAAAACCAAAGAGATACTTATAAAAAATTCATTAACACAAAGAATGTTGTCATTCTCTTACAAGCTTTAGAGCCTTGTTTCATGTTGATATAGCTAAGTCATTTAGAGACATAACTTAGAAGACGGAGTCCCTGAAGGTCGGATTTGATTTTAAGGTTGAATGAAGGAACTAATAGATTTTTAAAAATAGTCAAAATTAGGCAAGTGTAATTAAAATCGAGCTTTTTGATCGAACAAATTAGATTTTTGTAAAGCCTGCGCCCCGCAGAAACCCAAAATAAATGCCTTACAGTGACAAGTCAAATTTTTCAAATTTTAATGATGATTTTGAATTATAAAAAACTAAGATATTAAGCACTTATATATATGCATCGTGTATTTTCTAGCGGTTGGAGTTCCTGGGAGATGCTGTTCTGGATTATCTGATTACACGCCATTTATACCAGGTGATTAAAAAATATCTTTTATAAAATTATTTTTTCTCTTTTTTTACACAAATATGGTTTTTACGTTGATACTGACTTTAAATTAAAGAATAGAATTTGTTAAATAAAAATATTTTAACTTCCTGGATCCGTATCCAAAGGGCAAAATATCAACCATAACCAGCGAAACAAAACTTTTTGCTCTTCTTACAGAACCCTTAACTTTTAAGAACTGATAAGAGATTATTAAAAATCACTGCATAATCTCTGAATGTTTTCAGCAAAAAGATCCCGGAAAAACGAGAAAAAAAATTTTATAACTTTTAAAATTGTTTGACATTTTTTTATTTGAAGGATACACGATTACACTCTCCTGGTGCACTTACTGATCTAAGATCTGCTCTTGTCAATAATACAATATTCGCCTGCCTAGCTGTCAGGTAATACATAACATAAATAATGAGTTTTTGTTCGGTGTTTAATTTTTTCTAGAGTTTTTATTTTAATTATCAAGAAAGAAAAACAACTGAGTTAAGGGCATTTTTTGGGGTCATTTTTTTCGTTTAATTTTTGGAAAATAATTGTTAATAGCATGTACTACTCCTTTAACCTAATCTAATTTATAGCGACGATAAGTATTTTTACTATACTAGGCTTTTAGGGCGCTTCGCACTCATTTTCTATTTAAATTGTGAACATGTTCTTTTTGTTTACATTTAAAAACAAAGAAAAAAATTTGCGGATTTAAAAAAAAAATTCGCGGATTTTCAAGAATTTAAATTTTTTTACAAAATTAAAAACCTTTAAAATACATTTTTTTAAATTTTTATCATTCATAAACCTTCCCTGTGGTCACGTGATGTCTCACAAAAAATTTGGGCCCGATCGGTTCAGCCGTTTTGATGTTTATTGGATACAAATAAACAGACAGACAAGCCAAATTTATATAACTAGTACTAGAAATTCAAGGCGCTTCGCGCCCTTCTTTCTAGCCTTTGTGGGCGCTTCGCGCCCATCTTCTAAATTAATTGTGAACATGTTCTCTTTGAACTAGAAATTCAAGGCGCTTCGCGCCCTTCTTTCTAGCCTGAGAGGGCGCTTCGCGCCCATCTTCTAAATTAATTGTGAACATGTTCTCTTTGTGTATATCGTAAAACAAAACAAAATAATTAGCGGATTTTCACAAAAAAATTTCGTGGATTTTCAAAATTTTCAAAAATTTAATAACGATCGAATTTTGATGGAGACAAATATTTGAAACTTTGATCATTCATAAACTATCCCTGGGGTCCCTAGATGTCCCACAAAAAATTTGGGCCCGATCGGTTCAGCCGTTTTGACGTTTATTGGACACAAACAGACAGACAAACAGACAAACAGACAAGCCAAATTTATATATAGATAGATATAGATATATATATATAGAAGATTGTAGCCCAAAATTCCTAATATTGGAATTTTGGAAACTAATTGGTAAAGTTTTCTTTGGTATTGAAGCTATTAAATGGAAAAGTGTTGATTCTTAAAGAAAAAGTATAACTTGGAGTTTCAAAGATAGACTGGTTATCTTTAATAATAATAAAAATACTAATACTTTTATGAGTTTTTTAGGTCTTCGTTTATACTTATTTTATTTGTTTTAGGTTCCAGTTCCATAAATACTTTAAGCATATGTCCCCTGGACTTCAAGTTGTTTGTGATAGATTTGTCAGGATTCAGGCAGAAAATAATTGGAAGGTAACAAAATAATGTTTGACTTATTTTATCTAGAACATTTTTAACTTTTAGTTCGAAGTATATCTTAGATACATAGTTAGATACGTAGTAAACAAAGTAAACATAATAATAATAATAATAATAATAATAATATGAATAGTGATTAAGCTTTGTCTGATAGCGTATGAATTAGAGATCAATGTGCAACATTTTGAAAACTGACTATTATTTTTAATTACGATTTCTCCTCAAAAGTAATTTGCGCATTTCTACTGCGGGAAAATGTATGAGATTTATTAGAATTAAACAGTCGCTTTTAAAATTAGAAAAACGACAATATTTTTCATATTTTGAATTTTTACTCAGATAAGGTCTTATTCCATTGGGAATTGGGCATTGTCATCTTAGCATGGAGGGTCACTTGAAATTACGCCAACACTTCCTTTAAATATGCTAACAGTCCCTTTAAATACTCATTTAAGGATCAATAAATTAAATTGTTATATTTTGAGGTGTCTGAGGACTGTTATCTGATGGATGAGGACGAGAATGAGGAGGCGGAGGATATCGAGGTCAGTATAACTGTAAACACATGTAGAAGATCTTAAAATAAGCGGATTGTAATTAAAACAGGGATATTTATTTTCTCGACAAAAAACNTTTTCCCTTAGTTGCACGGAGCGCCAGAAAAAAATCAAATTTTTCATTTTCTCCCCCAAAACATCAAAAATTATTGTTAAGGTTCCTAAAGCTCTGGGTGATATATTTGAATCTATTGCTGGATCTATCTACCTGGATTCTGGACTCTCATTAGACGCTGTCTGGACGGTTTATTACAGGTTAGGGGCTCTTCAAGGCGGGTCAACACACTTAATTTAAAGAAATTTGATTTGGAAACTAACTCCTAATTAAAGAACCCGTGTCAAGTAAGACATTTTGTAATTTATCTTTCAATATTAATAGCAGCCGGTTCTATTTTTGAACGTAGACTCATATAATTTGTTAGGAGCAGGATATGAAGTCAGATTGTCGATATCTCTTTCCGGAGTCTTGGAACCTCTGAAAAGTGACCTCCGTCGGCTCCGATTTTTTATCTCCGGCCTCGTTGGACATAAATAGCCCATTTTTTAAATATATACTCCCAATGACCCCTAAAATACACAAAAAAAAAATTATTTTTTT